GGGAGACCTTAACCCACCAGAAAATCACCGCATTTTCTCAGCCTTGGCAGTTCTAGTGCTTTAATCTGGTCATCCTCTGCCCACCCAAGCTCTAAGGAAACGGAACTTGAGAACCAAAGGGCCCTTGTAGTACCTTTGGGACTAACTGAGCCAAAGAAGTTGTAGCAGAAGTTTCCTAGACTTTAGATATGTATCAGAAGAAGGAGACTAGTCTAGGAAAGCTCATACTACAACTTCTTTCACTGATATCCAGGGGTAGCCCTCTGGCTATATAGCAAAGTACAGTATCATCCAATATTCCACACAACAGCGATAGCTTTATTACAACATGTCTGTGTAATGTGCATTTTGGTTTGTGCAATGAAGGTATCACAGTTTTGTGGGTTTTGAATGATACTGTTCTTTCACTCAGTCTCAAAGGTGCTGCAAGATCCCTTTTCATGCAAGATCTCCTGATTCTACACTTTAGAATCTCAGGTTAGGAAAGGTCTCTGTGTGTTTTTAAAAAGTTAAACATAAAATAAAAGATTAAATCTGTTTAAATGTACTTAAAAATAATGCCATACAGCCTCCTAAGATTTAACATAGGTTGGTGCCTCTGCAAATCTTAACCCCAGCTCTGGATCCTGCTCTGGGTTTCAAATGGGAGAAATATAAATAAGAGAGAATTCAACGACACAGTCAGGTTAGTCCTGCTACAAGATTACTGTGCATATATATAAGAGAGAAAGCATGGTGTGGTGGTGTGAGTGTTGGTCTACAACTCTGGAGAGCATGGTTAGGATTCCCAAACCCACTGTATGTCCTTGGGCAAGTCGCAGTCTCTGTCTCAGAGGAAAGCAAAGGCAAATCCCCTCTCTGAACAAATCTGGCCAAGAAAACCTTGTGATCAATTTGCCTTAAGGTTGCCATAAGTCCCAAATGACTTGAAGAGACACAACAGCAACAAAAATATAAAGATAAATGTGCACATTCACATGGATGGCCCTAGGAGTAAATCTGCTTGAACTCAAGGGCAATTTACTTGTCAGGGTAGACTTGGAAGGCAGGAGGAAAAGAGAAAATCTACATTAGAGGTGGCTGGACTCAATGAAGGAAGCCACAACCCTGAGTTTGCAAGACCTGAGCAGGGTTTTTGTGACTGTGAGGTCTCTCATTTATAGTTTTTAAACTAACTTGATAGCATTTAACAACAAAGACTTGTGTCAGATTGGAAACTGTAATCGTAGGCTCACCTATCTGCAAGGCAGTGCCAGCTAAGTACTACTTCCCAGGGCAAGATAGGATCAGCTATGCAGCAGAGGAGATCAAATATGGAAAACACAAAGAAGGTGCATGCAGACCTCTGGACTATTGGTTAGTTTTAGCTAGAATATATCCACTGAATCAATCATCAGATAGTGAGTCAACTCCCCACTGATTCCAACAGATCTTCTTTATTAGGAACATGCCAATAGATTTGGCTTGTGCCTGAAGGTACTGTAGTTTGCACAGTTGTGTTCCCTGTCAGCCACTGTGAGTGCAGGAGAGGGTTAGAATTATGACAGGGTAGTTATCCTGAATTAATTCAAGCCCAATTGGAATGTGATGACAGGATTCTAATTTACCTTAAGGAGTCAAAGGGTAGGATGGGCCAAATAAACACTTTAGCTTAATCCAGAGTAAAAGGCCAGCATTCACGGGTGAAGGAAGGGTCACTTCTAATCTGCTGTCCTCCTGAAATGCCAGTGTGAAACGAGGGCGGGATCTGTGTGGCTATATAGAGAATTTTAATAGAGGGTTTTAGAAGTGCAGGCTTCTGGCCTAAATGGGAAATCTAATCTTTTCTGGCAAAGGGGAGAGGAGAGTAGCCTGGATAGAGGAAATGTTGTGAGTTTTCTAACTGAAGTGTGTGTGTTTGGGGGGGGGGTGTCTAATTTGCATTCACTGTAGCAGGTGGGTAGTTGGATTATTTAATTTGGAGTAAAGAAAACCCAGAGAGCCAGTGTGGTATAGTGGTCAGAGTGTTAGACTGCAAGCCTGGAAATCAGTATTGGACTACACAACTCTGGAAATCACTGTTGGATTGTGACTCTGGAGATCAAGATTTGATTCCTTGCTTGAGCATAAAAACCCGTAGAGTGACTTTAGGCAAGTCAAACTCGCTCTGCCTCAAAGGATGGCAATGGCAATCCCCCTCTGGACAAATCTTGCCAAGAAAACCCCATGCTAGGTTCACCTTAGGGTTTCCATAAGTCTAAAAAGTAAAAAAAAAATAAATACTGACTTGGAGGCACATACAAGCCCCCTCCCTCCCCTTGTATGATGAGGAGGAGCAGGAGGTATTGGGAACCTGGGGCTCACCTGTCACCATGGCCAGGGCGGCGATGCAGGAGAAGGCTGAGATGTCCACGTTCATGTTCTGGAGGTTGGAGGAGAACTCCACGATGGAGTCGATCCATTCTCCGAAGCCCCGGACGCACTGGAGCCGGTGGAGGACCACCCCGTTGCAGAAGATCAGCTTGCCTTCCACCGGGTTGGACCTGCCCAGAGATGGGGGGCAAGGAGAGAGAAAGAGGAACAAAG